CTGCCAAGCTGACGGACCTCGCACGGCTCTGGAAGACGCCCAGCGGCCTGCCTCACAGCAACCTCATACAAATGCCCTTGATAAAACGATAATGCTGCCACGAAAAACTGATCCACAACATGATGACCAATAAGATTGAGAGTCATCGTTTGAAAACGGTAGCACTAAAGAATGAAGCCAAGAATTTGAAAGAAAAAACATTGTCTACACTGGTCTTGAACAACTCTACTACGTTCACAGTGTACTTCGCAAGCGTGACTACAGTATAGTCATTGATGAAAATGCTAATTACTAAAAACTGCAGCGATGCGTGTTTGCTACTTCCTGTGCTAGGCACATGGCAAGTCAGGGGAGTCAGCGCTGAAATTGAACTTTTTGAGATCTGAAATTTGGAGCTGTGGACTCTTGCTGACGATGACCATATACGTATGAAAACAATGGCTACAGTTATGCCGAAAATGTCCAGTGAAGTCTAAGTCCCACAAGCACATACCAACAGAAGGCTGCCGTCAATCAGCTTCGCAGCGAATTTGCTGCGCAAGCGCAGTCGCCAGGATTCAAATTCTCGGGGAACACGCCTGGGTGCTGTAAGACAAAAGCTATCTAGACAAGTTCCAAGATCTTGGTAGTAACCCAAATTTAGGAAGCAGGAATCGCCAGCGAGTTCCCCTCAACTTCTCCGCGAGCCGCCCCTGCAAGGGATCTCCAAGGCATAAGTTCTGGAGTGACTGAAACAAATATTTTGCTTATAAGTCCCGTCGCAAGGACTAGAGAGATCTTGCGCTTTGCCTGTTCAGGCAGCTGCAACTACGCGGCGAGCGAGCGTCCGCACTCAGGCTCGTTAAGCAGACTGAAGATCTGCTTGTCATTTCTAACTCTTATTTTCCATTGGGCAGGATGTGGTCCTTCAGGGTCCCAGACAGCTGCGCGGCTGGCTTGAATCTTATTTACCAAGCGATGCCCCTGAAGAGGACCCCACCACGCCGAATCCTATGGGTTGAACTGCGTGGCATCTGAGGCAGCGCCAAGTGCGCATGCCTCCAGGCAGCAGCCAACAATAGTGAGACCTCGGGTTGCGAGCCTCTGGGCAGAGAAGCCACATCCGTAAGTAGCATACTTCGCCTAAGCCAAGGCTTACAAACCGGAGAAGACCTGGGAAACCCAAAAATGTTAGAGTATGCTGCAAACACAAGGCACAGGAAGTCTCCTAATCCAGCCCTGGGGTCCCCTGTGCTGAACAGAAGACAAACGCAACAAACTGCCTCAAACCGCACAACCCAGGCCTCACGTCTTCGCGGCTTTTTTGTCAGCGGCGCGCGAAGCTTTTAAGTCTTTGTGTGGAGGATTGCCGGAGGGCACTACTTCTTTGGTTTTGGAGCTGCGGAAGTTAAGTTCAATGTCTGTGCTGCCCTCCAAAGGGAACTTAATTTAAGTTACTATATTGGGGTAACCCTACTAACCATCATATATACCCATACTACGGTACCCTAAACCCCAAATACTACATAACCCCTAGACCCCCATGTAACTACTACATATACCAATTATGGTAACTTGGGTATGACGACCCTAAACCCTAAACCCTAAACCCTATGACGTGAGGTCTGCAATTTGTCCGCATCAAGCGCTTGATGCACCGGCGGCCTGAGGTTGCCTCAGGCGCCATAGACTTGGAAATAGAGGCTTCCCAACTGGATTTTAGGGTTTAGGGTTTAGGGTTAGGGGTTTAGGATTTAGAGTTTAGGGTTTAAAGTTTGGGGTGGAGGGTTTGGGGTTAGGATTTAGGGTTTAGGGTTTAGGGGTCCCTTTTAAAGGGGATATAGGGGTTATATAGGGGTATAGAGGGCTATGAAGGGTGCAGGGTTTCCCAAGGGTACCATTTTGGGGGTCCCTATAATAAGGATTATAGAATTTTGAGGTCTGTATTAAGGTCCCCCTATTCAGGGAAACCATTATCAAATAGACTTAAGGTCAACTTCTGTGGCCTCTGCGGGCAGTGTCTATAAGGGGGATATGAGCAGTAATCTAAACTCCTACTATCCCCCTTAATAACCCCCATAATACTTCCCTATATCCAACCCCTTTAAGGATTGTAGACTATAGCTCACATAACCCTAATCGTTCAAATCCCTATTAGGTACCCTATAGTCCAATTTTCCATTTCATTGTCCATTATCTTTTCCATTATTTTTCTGTATTGGTGTGCTTTGAGGGGCTGAGGGGGCAAGCTGAAGGGCACCACCATGCCGGAAGAGTGTGGCGCTTGGGCTTGTTGGAGGGATCAACCCCCCTTAAGTAGCTAAAATCTGGGGTACATGGGGGATCTTATTCTAATATGCCTAAAGCCATGTTCTATCTACTTAATGGGGACTATCGCTACATGAAGAGTCCACAGAAGGCTCCTTGTCTTCAAGATAACAATGAAAACTCTAAGGTTTCCCTTCCAATGATCCAGACCCTGGCAGAAGCAGCGATACTTTAAATTCTCGAAAACAAGCCTGCCAAGACTGCTTGCCTGAGTGGTGCTGGGAATCGTCTATCAAAGCTCATGTCATATCCCAGAACTGAAGACACTCCAGGGCTTAAGGAAGATCATCGCAGACGTTTCAGAACCTGTCCTCATCTGTACCAAGCATCAACATCCCGCAGTGTCGGCAAAACCTACATCTTCGAACGACAAGAACGACGTGCCGCATTCACAAAAAAAAGCGTGTGCCCTCAAGGAATCTCATTCAGACTACCGCAGTTTCAAGAGGAGCCTGTGTGTGACCGTATGTGGCACCATGCGTGTTTGCACAACTTTCTCTCTGGACTTGTGCAGTGACCAGAACCACCGAACCAAGGGAGAACACGCAAATCTAAAGAACCCTGAACCCTGAACCTGAACCCTGCAATTTTAATCCAAAACCCAAATCCAAATCCCCCAATCTTCCGAAAAGGAATGGACACCCTGGCCGAGTCGTCTGCTGACTTGCAACACTGGACGGTGTTGCCTTAGATTAAAGGCTTTTGCCCTCCCACCTGGCTAGATTGGGGGCTTGGGGCTTGGACTTGGGTTGAGGATTTGGAGGTTTCGGTTTTGGGGCGTATGGTTTAGGAAACCAGCAAAACCTGGCATAGCCAATACTAGATTATGTCAAGTAACACAAAGCAGGCAGCGGGGTGACAGCCTCCCTCTGCAAGACCCCCCACAAGTAAACACCACGTCGTGTCGTTGTTTGCCAGAATCCATAAGCAAATTTCTTGGTCCTACCTGCCACCTCATGAAACTATGCTGAGTTTCCCGGCTTGAGGCTCAGTTCCCCCCCCGGAGCCTGCTCCAAAAAAAAAGAATCATCAAATGAAAAAGAAAATGCCATGAAACATAGACTAGGCTTACAGCATACCCTCTACTCCCGGGAGTCGCGATCTCCAAGCCTGATCAGGGAACACACCGCACACTCGAAGCGTCACAGCAATGCCTATGCATGAGAGCACATTCTTGCTAGCACAAGTGCGTCAATAATATCATCCGAAAAAAGGCTACATAATCCCTATGTTCCCATGAAGCCTTGTATAACTGTAAAAACCCCTAAAACATGGGTTGTGGGTCTATGGGTAGGAGCGTGGGACTTGAGGCAAGGACTCAAACCAGAGCTCTTGCCTTTGAGCAAAAGAAGATCTACTTGGAGGGCCAGAGTGGGCCTTAAACATCCTGGTGTTTGGTCATGTCTGGACCGGATTCTTGAAGTAGCCGCACTGTATTATCCTCTCTTGTAGGGTACTTACGCTGCAAGTATGCCCCATGGCTACCTCATCCCCTCCCCGAAAAATGAACCCCCGTTCGGGGATTTTTTTCAATAGGTAAGGATACTATACTGGAGGTTTCTCTGATGACGAAAGGCTTTTCCCGACTGTGAAGACCCGCCTTTTTCTTGTAAGATGTAGGGGATCAAACAATGAAAAAACTCCTTTTGGAGGTCGACTCGGGGCACTCTGTACTAAGCTTACTGGGGGTTAGTAGGGAATGAGGGTATATACCATACAGGGTTATAGAGGGATTATATTCCCTTATTCCCTTCTAAGAACCAGTAAGTAGAATTGTACAACGAACCTAGGAGCAGAATATTGGTAGCTCTGCAAGCTTCTACAGATACTGAAGCCACGGCGCCCCGTTCTCCACCAGCGGGGAGGCGATAGCCGAACCCTTCCGTTCACTGACCCGGGGCTTCCGCAGTCCTCTAATGCAGGGGCCTAAATGGTGGTCTAGGGGGTCTAGGGTTAAGGGGTTAGGGTTTAGGGTGATTACCAATATGATTTTGAGGTCTGTTTGAGGTATCCTTCATCCGAATAATGCAAGGAATGTGGGGCCCAATATTGGTAATCGTTCAGGCCAGCAAGGAGGAAGGAACGGTTGGCACCGTTCAGGCAGGGACATCCGAGCTATAAGCTTAACTTCGGGCATTCCCCTTACAAACCCTATAGAAGTCCCCTATTTAATTCCTTTATACAAGCCCTTTTAAGGAGTTTAGACTATAGCTCATCTGGGGATTGAAGGGGTTCCCCTTTCATGGCACACATGGCTTCAGGAAGGCAGGCCAGAACTGCAGGCTTACGACACAGAATTGGGGTTATGGCCCCCCGTAAGTAGATAGAATATGCCTTTGGGTATATTATAATAAGATCTCCATATACCCCATATTCTATGTAGTCCCCCTTAAGGGGCTTGGAGAGAGGTGCAGGATGGATCCCTGACAAAGAGTGATGGGTCTGGATCAGTCCTGGGTCCGTCCGTTTTTGCCAGAAACAGATCCCCTTTGCATCAGGTTAAGAATTCTTGAGATCGTATAATATCGTATGATCATGGTCTCAACAAAGCTTCCAGGATCCAGGCTCGGAAACTCGCTTCTGACAAGGCGGCCGGATGGGCTAGGCATATACAGCACTCCGGCGGCCAACCCGGGCATGCTAGCTGGCTCTGCAAGACTCGCGACTCTTTGGGATCAACTGCGTGACAGCATTCACCTGCGTAGAAACTCTTTTACTTGTTCGCATGAGGCTGTCTGAAGAAAATGAAGTGGCGGACTGGCAGCCCTTGTGGCTTCAAACCCAAGCTTCTGACAGCTGGGGCAACGAAATGACATGAGCATGTTAAGTCCTGCTGTTGTCAGCGTCATCAGCGGTCGCTCAATGAAACACCACAGGCCCACCGCGGAGGCATAGGCAATGGAACAATTGCCTCAACGCACCATAGAAAAGCATCCAGAGCAGGCTAAACCATAAAGAAGACCCACTATGTCCGGGGCACTTTCGAAATGGGGCTCCCCTTTTGTAGCTTGAAATTAACATACTCCTTGCAGTATATGCCCTAAGTTGGCAGCCCTGGATTTTGAAATGTCCCCTCTGGATGAAGCCAAGGCACCAATGAAACGGTAGCAGATATCCTGGCCAACAAGCTCTCACTGGGGTGGCTGCTAACAAAATGAATGGTGAGGCTATAATGCTTGCCACGAGGTGATTGCTGCAGGTGTTTCAATTCAGCTGGGAAGATGTGGGAAAGAGTTTTGGATCGGGACCTGCCGAACTATAGCACCAGCGTCTAGTGCTACAGCCTGGTAGGACCAAACATACAACACTGCCCACAACCCATCTGAAAAGCGAGTCTTGTCAAGGGCGCCCCTTCTCTAAATCAAGCCAGAATCTGTCCCTGCGTTCTCTTCTATAGTTTCTACTTCGTCCCACTGCCAAGGTGGCAAGTGTGAGCAATCCTCTTTCTGCTGCACGCTCAGCCTCCTGTCGGCTGCCATTGTCTTTGGCCCCACACCCAATTCACAACGCAACCAATCCTACCCCCTAAAAATGGTAGTTTCTCAAAATAAGGGGACCCCAATATATAGACCCCAATATACTATAGTCCTTATTATGGGGACCCCCAAAAAGGTACCCATAATTTAGGGAAAACCCCAAATCAAAGTGCATCCAGGAGTCCATGCCCGAGAAGGTGTAGAACTGCACAGAGGTGCCGGCCGCCAGCTTGATGACCTCTCAAGCTTACTGGTGCTCAAGGGGGAGTGAACAAGCGAACATGGAAACTACTCCAAGGCTATGTATGAGGGTTATACGGGATTACTACAAGGATCCACACCCCACTTTCCCTTAAGCACCAGCAAGTAAGCAGCTCAATGGAGAGTGATGGCTTCTAAGGATGCATACTTGTAGGTGTAGGCCTCACAAGTTGGATGCTAGGATTGCGGCTACGGCTACAGATTCCTTATTGATCTGTCTGTAGGATCACTTGATGATTCTCATGATCTCCCATCTATGCCGCTTCATTAGTTCAAGGAAGTCCGGGAGTTCAGCATCTCTTCCATTTATGATCATTCTGAGAATGTTTTTATTGCGGCAGTTGTTTGAAAATCTCTGTCTGCACCCAAAACCCTGCGTGACTCATCTTGACTACCCTTGCCCCTTGTGGCAGAGACCTGCCCACCACCATGGGGGAGGTGATGCCGAAGACTCGAAAACCACCAAACCCAGCGCTTCATGATTTTGTACATGAGTCTCATGATCTAAATAAACATATGTATATATATATATACATATATATGTAAATGTATACACATATGTGTGTGTATGTATGTGTGTATGTGTATATGTGTGTGTGTGTGTGCGGGTGCGTGTGTGTGTGTGTGTGTGTGTGTGTGTGTGTGTGTGTGTGTGTGTGTGTGTGTGGTTTCCCTGCTTTTTAGGCAAAATTCACTCCCTCCCCATGCCCTCCCAGGACTCCCAGGCGTAGAAGAACACGCTTTTGGGTGCTTGGCATCCAGAAGCGCTATTTAGGGTTTAGGGTTTAGGGTTTTACAGCTCACTACGACGTGACCTTTGGTTTGGAACGGTCATGCTCGGACAAAGCAGGAGATTATGAGACTGGGGAGACACATGAAGTATGAAGTAACAATGGATTCTTCAGATTAAGAATCTATGACCAGAAAATGATATAGGACACAAAAAACACAAAGCCATATAGTGATAAGAATGCATGCGTGGACTTTGTGGGATCTCATGTTTCTTTAGTATAGGCCGTCGTCTTAATACTGCGACTATCAGATGACTGCTGTAAAATCTTCCTTTGGAAGTCTTGCCTAGAAAACAGCCTCGTTCTTGCAAGAAGACACATTGCACTTTTGCATACAAGGACGCTTTAGGAATTAAAGGGATTACAAGGCCACATGTAGGCATTGCGCAGATCATTCGCTGCGACGGGTTATGTCTGAAGAGTTGAGGTCAGCTATGGTGTTCCTCTTTTTATGGACTTCTTTTTCCCTGGGGTTGCAAATAAATCTTAACAATCGTTCTGCACGAGCTCTTCAGAAGTCAGCGACCCTTGCACGACTGAAACACTTGCAACCACTTGAGTTAACATGGCAAATGCTAACCCAAAATCGAACCTGTCTCGTTAGTTTCATTCACGCGAAGTAAGAGTCCAACGTACAAAGAGGATGGATCCAAATCGTATGAGTAATGATAACAGAGACCCCCCATATACCCACGTTGATGCGATGCTGGTTGGGAGGGCGCCTTGCAAACAACATTATCAAAAACTTGGAGAAGCAGCAGCATACACCTACTGCCAACATTCGGCTTGCCAGAGAAACACTCAGCATATCTAAGGATTAACATGAACATACTTATTCAAAATTTGTCTTGTCCCTAATCTTTCTTGTGCCGAAGTGCCAGAGGATGCATCAGGTAAGCGCCGTAGGTGAGGCGCACGAAGGGCGTCCAGAATCGGTGGGACAGGAAGCTATTGATGCGAGGCAGGTGACCTCACATCTTTTAGCGAGACCATGGTCTCTCTAGTAGACGGAGTGATAGTAATCACGGCACCATCAGCGGCAACTGTTGTAGATGCTGTAATGGCACATACTTTCCAGATCTCTCCTCATCACCCCTCAACCACTGCAGTGTCTAAACCCCCGAGTTCTCATATCTCATGCGGGAACCGCAAGATCCAAAATCCAAGCTGCAATACACCCTACGCCTTCCTTGAAATCCAAAGCCCTCCACCTTTCTACCAATCCTTCAAGCCCCCGCCCGCAAACTTCAAGCGGCGAAAATGGCAAGGCCCTGTCATAAACCCCTACACACCCTATATCCCTATAAACCCCTAAGGCCGTAAATATCAACCCATGTCTGTGTAAGGTTCTGCAAGGGGCCATAGTAGCAGAGCAGAGTGATCACAGCCCAGGCAAGTGCCCACAGAAGCCGGCCAAAATCCAGAAGGAGCACGCTGTCCAGATCATTCCAGCCTGGTGACGGCCGGGGGCCTACATGAATGGGAGGCATTTTAGCCTACAACTGAAAGCAGTAGAAGGAAAAGTTAAGGGTGTAGCGGCTTAGGGTCCAGTAGTCCAGGACACTTCCAGGACTTAGTGCGCGGAGTCTAGGATTTCAACATGCGCCTCGCATCAGTCGGGATTTTCCGTTTGAAACTTTCTAAGATTGTCATTGCCAAAGTAGAAACGAAGTATGCTCGACAGTGCTCGGTCGAAGGTTTCAGACTGACTGGACGAAGCTGGGACTACCTGCTCGGGCCGAATATTGTATAGCGCAAGTTTTGAATGTGGGACTTGCTCTGCTGCCGTTGCCCGGCGCCCAGGAACCACACCACCATCATCACACCACATCATCGGAATCTTAAACATCGTCATAAGATTACAATCCTCGTGGTAATGAATATGAACAAAAACATTGGGTGACACTGACAACAATCACAACGGCAGCGACTGCCAGCGCCACTGCGAATAGAACAGTCAAACCTCCAATCCTTACTTGCTTCAAGCAGAGAAGCTGTTCTGGTGCGTCCCGAAGTCCGTGGACGGGATGAAGACAATGAAGCACAAGGCGCCAAAGGCCAGCAAAGCCAGCTGGGCGGATTGATGACTGCTGTTAAGGTCGTCATATGAGGGTCGGTCGTTGGCGTCAAAGGGCACTGTTCTTCCAAAAAACGTCATAGGCCTGTAGGGGCGCTCAAAGTCTTTCATGCATTTAGAGGCAGGGCTTGTTGCGGCAATAGAGCTTCGTGATATGGAGAAGAGTTTACGATACCAGCCAGAGGCAGTAGTTTGATGAGTCATCAAAAGGCAAGGGCTTGTGCACTGCTGCCTCTTCCTGCAATCTCTGAATAGGATATCCAAATCACTCTGGGCGTCGTTTCATGTTTCGGCACAGGACTTGCTTTTTGCCCAAATCAGCTATGCTTTTGAATTCTACGATCGTGAAAACTACCCTAAATCGTGGTGTGGAAACTTACATCCTATATGCACTCTCCGAACCTGCCAGTCCACACTTTTTGGAAGCTCAACGCTAACAAAAACCCAAACACTGAACGGAGTCCAGAAACACACCCTAAACCCAAGCCTGAATGCCAGAATGACCAGGCCGAAGGCACGCAACTCATAAGTTTACTACCAAATGAAATTGCACATTAACGCCTAAACCCTGCATGGTCTCCTCAGACACCCTTTGGAATCCCAAAATGTTCATATAAGGCCCCCTTGTAACACCCTAAACTCCTAAACCTAAACCCTAGACCCCTAACCCCTAAAACCTTACCCCGTAAACTACAAGCTGTCACCAAGTCTCCGAGGTTGCGCCGATGGCCTGCTTCCGCCCGAAGGTCTGCGACTCTCGGGTAATGCCTGCAAGAGAGCTTACGGTAGGCTATGGGCGGATCTGGGGGTTTCCCAGATTAGGGTTGCGATTCGGGGGCTCCCCATCCGAAGGGTTACGATATTTCGGGGCCTAACGGGGTGCCCTAAACCCTAAAACCCTTAAAACCATGAAAACTCTACAACCCAATATACAACCCCCAATGTATGAACCCTAAACCCTACACCCTAAACCCCCTAAACCTACCCTTTGGAGTTCGAAGGGTCCAAAAATATTGCTCCAGGCTGAAAGGACCCAGGATGTCTTTGCAAGATCTGCTTCTGTAGCAAACTTGCGGATGTAGGGGTTTAGGGTTTACGGTTTAGGGTTTGGGGTTTAGGGTTTGGGGTTTAGTTGGGGCTATATTGGGGATATGTTGGGTTTATTATGTTGGGGTCATATTGGGGTTATGTTGGGGCAACATTAAGGTTATACGGGGATAATGAAAAAGAAAATGGAAACTACTATAATAGGTTATAGAGGGCTTAGGGGGCCGCATTTTGGGCTTTAGATGTATGCCGAAAGTCAATTAAAACAGCATAGCTCCTGAGCGCTCGCACCGAAACCTCTACCTGCCGGACAGCAAGCATCAGCATAAGAAAGCACGAATTTCCTACTCAAATTTAAAAAGCTTTTTGTCGAGGCCATAAAGCCTTACAGGGATGACCGATGGTTACAAGCACTACCCGACTAGAGATATATGCATACGTTTCAGACTTGAGTTGGCTTCAGGTTGGCGGTAAGGCATACAAAACGACTCGGCTGATGATGCGGGAAATCGTAAAGGCTGAGGGCTGTGGGGTTGCGAGTCTCCGTGATCACTACGGAACCTAAACCGCTTTTGTACATCTGGACTCCGGCAGGCTCTGCCGGAATGAAGGGCATCCCGTCATGCAGAGCTGCTGGCAGAAAGTGACCCAGCACCCTCCAGGAAAACTGCACGAACAACCTCATGCAACAACACACGACATCTCTGAAAGCGAGCTGGTGATGTAAACCCCTACCCCCAAAATCCTTAACTCCTTTTGAACTTTTGACCCCTTTTGAACACCAAACCCCATAAACCCCAAGTCCCCCTGAACCCTGAACTCCGTGAGCCCTGAACCCCAAACCAAAAAGTTAGTCAATCAAAATTCCTGATTCCCAAATGGCCACTATGGAAAACAAATTCACCCGGGTTCCCCTGCAGGCTGCAGGAGACCCAAACAAGTTCGCCAAAGGACCTTAAACCCCTAAGCCCTCAACTCCTAAACCCTTAACCCCCAAGCCCTCAGATACAAAACCCGAGACCCTATAGACCACTACAGAATACGAGCTTCCATGTCCTTCTCCAGGTGATTCTTCATTGTTTGGGGTGATATTAGGGTTTAGGGTTTAGGTGATATCCCAATATACCCTTATTTAACCCCATATATACGTATGTATCCACTAGACTACCATAACGACTACATTATCCGGATAAAGCTCGTTATAGTTTATCACCTACTTTAATAACCCTACATATCCTTCAGGAACCACTTTTGAACCCCAACCCTTGAAATATCTTCAAAAGTCACGGCTGTCATTGGGTTAAACTTCCCTACACCTGAAACCCTGTAGCCTGAACCCTAAACCTTAACCCCCTTAACCCTAAACCTAAATGGGAGTTTCCCTAAATAGGTGGACCCCAATGTAAGCCCCAAAATGCTCTAATCCTTATTATAGGGACCCCGTAGTGCTACCCCTAATTTTGGGAAACCCTAAGCCCTATATACCCCTCTAGACCCCTACATAACCCCATATAATCCTATATAACCCGTTTTTCCCCTTCAAAAGGAATCCCTAATGCCCAAACCCTAAACCCTCAAACCCTAAACCCTAATTGTTGTCAAGTTGGCTCACAGTCACTATGTTTGCTGGCAGCTGACCTTGAGAAGCTAACATCTCTGAAAGGACGTCTTGCAGCTGCGCGTGTCTGTGTCCTGCACATCTGCTTCCCCAGAATAGAAGCTGAAGCTTGGCACGCCGCTGCAACAATACCCCTCCAATCCTAAACCCCTAACCCTACACCCTAAATCCTAAACCCTAAACCCTCAAACCCTAAATCCTAAAACCCAAACCCTAAAACCCTCACACCCTAAACCTTTGAATCCCCAAACTGCCGCCACCTGCCTTTTTCCTCCAAGGTCTGCAGGAGCCAGGCCGCTGCCCTCGGATGGCTTAGGGTTTAGGAGTTAAGGGTTGAGGGTTTAGGGTTAGGGGATTAGGATCTAGGATTTAGGATTTAGGGTTTAGGTTTAGGGTTTAGAATTTAGGATTTAGGGTTTAGGGTTTAGGGTTTAGGATTTAGGGTTTAGGGTTTAAGAGTTACAGTCCTCCTGAAGTAGATAGAATATGGCTTTGGGTATATTATGATAGGATTCGCATATATCCCATATTCTATCTACTTTAGGGGGACTATAAGGGTTGAGGGTTTGCGGTTAGGGGTTTAGGATTTAGGATTTAGGGTTTAGGATTTAGGGTTTGGGGTTTGGGGTTTAGGATTTAAGGTTTAGGGTTTGGGGTTAAGGGTTAGGGGGGTTAGGGTTAGGGATTTAAAGTTTAGACTTAAGGGTTAAGGGTTTAGGGTTGAAGGTTAAGGGTTTAGGGCTTGGGGTTTGGGGCTTAGCGTTTGGGTGTAAGGGTTGTTCCTCTGAACATGGTCCTTTAAAAGGGTTTCAGGGAATTAAAAGGGGTTTAACAGGGATGTGTAGCATTCAGGGGTCTAGAGAATTGAAAATTAAATGTAAAAACGGATGGAGAACATACAGGAGCTAAAGGGGTGGACATGACAGTTATTTAGCGGTACACAGGGGAAGAAACTATATTATCCAGGGCTTCGGGTAAGCAACCCCACCCTCAGCCCAGGAAAGATAGTCCCCCTGTTCAAAACCGTACTACATTGGGACTAGTTTTAATTAAGGGGGGGTGCTACTGTCAGTGGGAGCGGATTACGAATCGTTGCTGGAAGTCTGGGGTTTGGGGATATGAGGTTCAGCGTTGTTTAATCGCGTCTTTTCTCAACATCCAGCATTCGACTTTCCAGATGTCTTGCGACACGTCGCCAACAAATGTGTTTCTGTTCCGAGTTCCAACCCTAAACCCTAAATCCCTCACCCTAAATAGTAGTTTCTATTTTCTTTTTCCATTATCCCAATATAACCCCTATATAAACCCTAAACCCAGCAGCACTGGTCTCGGCACAGGCTGACTCCGCTTCAGGCTCCGTCCTTGCGATCTTTGACCTCTGAGTTGACCGCGTCTTAACGCCCACCGCGGTAGTTGGATCTTCGTCACCGTCACTTCCCTCCACTTGAAGGTTTGGGATTTGAGGTTTGTGTGTTTCTTTGTTTGTTTGCGTATTTGGGCTTTAGGGACTTTTGGAGTCGTGATGCATCGCTGATGGGGCTGTGTCAGGCACGGAGCGTAAGGCAAGATGCAATGGAAATGCTCGGCACCCGCATCCAACTAAGCCAAGTCAACTTTAAAGATAAGACTTCAGGGAGGTTGTCGGTGGACTTGGTGGAGTCTGCAAAGCGAAGGCTGGTTGTGGTAAAGATCAGAATGAAGGGACTTCGGCCATGTTTATGGAACACCGCGAAGGGACACTTCGCACTTCGGAGGAGACACTCGCAATTGGTATAACTTCATGGCGTTTCCTTGTTGTATGTTTGTGCTTGGAGGTGGAGCTTTACGGATGTGAGCGTTATCATCGCGGAAACCTGAATTGGAACCTAATCTATCTAGGCTGGTAACATGCAGGCACATGCTTCTGAAGTGGCAGACACGTCTTGCCGGGAACATCATCATTTGTGACTGCCCAAGCGATGACTTGCGCTCAGCGAGATCTTACAAACTCCGAAAATACGGCTCCCATGACGGCACTACTGCTCACCCGCACATAAGAAGTTGGATGTTCATCTCTGTGACATCCCCAGCAAAGTCTCAGGGCCCTGACTGCCTCATCGTTAGCAATCTTTGGACAAAACTCTGCATCCCTCAGTGCCTCAACCCCCAACTCTAAACCCTAATGAGTCATTCTAAGGCAGCGCCTACAGAATCCCAATTGCAAACGCAGTTTCGATTTTCTTGTGCGCCCAGAAAAAAAAGGGCTGAACCATACACCCAAAGTTAAGTAATATGGAAGTTTCCGTTGCCCTTGCCATTCCCTCCTAGTCCTAGCTGAGCCGCAAAGCCTACATAAACCTAGACTACTGTCTGTCTCTTCGAACAAGGCTTTCCTAGACACACGGTTTTGACAGAAGAGAAGTGCTGACAAGCAGCACCCCAACGAAGTAGGCAGGGGCGCGGGTGTAAGGCTTGCTGTAGGCGTAGTAAGAATACCTGAACTTGCCGGGACCCCTAACGCTTACTGACTAGAATCTATACATTACATAGTCCACATATGACCTAGACCCTAAACCCGAATCCCTTTCAGCCATAAACTCCAAAACCACTAAACCTTATATACCCCTACAAGTAAACCCCTAGACTGACCAGAGGATTTGGCATAGGGGTTCCATAGTGACATAGAGGGCTTAGGCTATCGGGTTTTGGGTTTAGGCGACAGGGCTTATATAGAAATTATGTAGGAATCATGCGAGGGTTATGTTGTGATGTAAATCTAAGAATGCTACAGCCAGGATTCCAAATTATCTTGGGGTTTAAACCCTAAATATGTTGGGCTCCGCTGTTTATGGAAACTACCAGTGAAGGTTCGGGCTCCGGGTGTCTAGCCGGGGGCTATGTTGAAGCAGCACGGGAGGTTAAGAGTACAAAGATGAATGAGCCATAACGCAACATAACCCCATTATAACCCCATATCACTATAACCTTTACCCTATCATAATGTAGTAGTTTCCATTCAATCTTCCATTTTATCTTCCATTTTATCTTCCTTTTTTTTCCATGTGGTTCTCCATTTTCCCTATATTACCCCAATATAATGGCTGACGACCTGTGCTCCGGAACTTACCCCAAGCAAACGGGATGTAAAGGTTGGGACGCTTGGTATAACCCCAATATAACTCCATTATACACCCTACATATCCACTACCTATTCCCTATATAATATAACCCCCATATAACCCTATGCACGAAAGAGGCCCCTGAACTTGCGATTTCTGGGAAGGGGTAGGGCTTGTTGGTCCACGCTTCGCGTTTCAGGTGCCAAGTCAAATATCTGCATGGAAGCTTTTCCCTAACTGGGAGCCGTTATGGGACAGATTCCTGCGCTTTGCATGCTCAACGTGCCATGTACTTTGAGAGGCCCCCCCCTGAAGGATATAAGATGGTCCACCTTAGCCCCTAAGATGCTGAGAAACTTACTTTCAAGAGACTGAAGTTCTCAGAGACGCCTCTGTGACAGATTTAACCCTTGAAGTTTCTTCGCTTGAGTCGCCTACCCCCGCACCCTCTACCCCACCAATCCTGGGCAATGACCCCGCTCATCCTAGACAAAACTTCCAGCTTTGAAATCCTGAACCCCGAACCTGTCATCCTAACACTCGTTGCCTCCATACCTGCAGCAAGGGCGCTCCGCGTAGTGCTGGTCAAAAACATAGGGGGACAGGTGGTACTTGGCAATCAGTCCCGCAGTGATGCCCAGGGAGATGCCACTCAAGGCCCTCCATGCGGGCCCGATGTCAGGGTCTCTCAGCATTTGGGCCCTTTTCGGGGTGGGTAGTTTGGATAAGACATGGTACTTTCCCTAAACAGGGGGACCCTCATATAGACCCTCAAACTACCGTACTCCTGATTATAGGGACCACCATAGTGGTACTCCTAATTCTGGGATTCCCCCAAATTGAGGTGGGGCAACCCTGCTGTTGCGAAGAACATGTCCCAGCATTCAATACGGGAGGCCTTCAAGGCAAGGAAGAGGACACAGCATATGAGCCATAGTCTAAACTCCTAGTATCCCCCTTAATAGTCCTAAAGTACTCCCCTATATAATCCCCTGTATGACTATATAACCCCCTCTAAGGAATTTAGACGATAGCTCATATGCAAATGCGGCGTTACAGCATAGCTTTGACATTAAATCCGATGCATCACATCCTGGTCTCCCTGCAGGTTTGTCCACTGCTGGCGCGATTGCTTAGAGGAAACATCTTTGAAGCTCCTCCCTGAACTAAACCACGCTTTTCCAAATTGAAGAATAATGGAAAAGAAAATGGAAACAACTATAGTATGATAGGGTGTATATATATATATGGTACATTATAGTATATTAGGGTATTTTGATCACTCTGAGACAAGTCCCTCATTGCCATTCTCCATGCGCTGAGCCACAGGAGAAGAAACCAGCCCACGAGCTTGGTACGGTAAAAGATCGGAATTATGGCCTGGGCGTCTCAAGAGGGGTTTAGGGTTTAAGGTTTAGGGTTTATGGGGAATTATGGCCTGGGCGTCTCAAGAGTAGTTTCCATTTTCTTTTCCATTATCCCTATATAACCCCAATATACTATAGTAGTTTCCATTTTCTTTTCCATTATCCCCATATAACCCCAATATTATAAAGAGTGAAGCGGCAGAAGAGCAGCTAGCAGAACAATCAGAACATAAGCAGCTGCAAACCTGCTGTGGCTGCACAGGTCATGAGAAAGCCCTCATGTTGAAGGCACTTATAGTACCCTACCCTATATAATCCCTATGATCCCTATAGTTTCCATTATATCTTCCATTACAGATCTAACCGCAGAGATTCAAGGCTTCTCGGCCGCGGAGCAATGCCCAGAATGAAGAAGATCATATCGTCGCCTGATGTGATCTTGACGGGATGCGGGAACAGAAATTGGAGAACCAAAGCCTATCCCTTAATATCTCCAATATTCCCTGTGATACCACCTACGTTCACTCCCCAACTCCCCCTTAAGCACCTGGAAGGACCTATACAGGGCAGGTCACCTGATTCAAACAGCTCCAAAGTAGAGTCTTGAGAAGGCATGGCGCGTTAAGCTCTATGGTCTTCAGGTCAAGGGACTTTCTGACGTCAAAAACGTCATTACAACCAGTTTCGAACAATGATTTGGTAGTTCCTCTCAAAAAGCCGGCAGCGAGCAGCAACTAGAGCAAAAGGATACTTCCCTGACGTGATTCCTCAGAACCCTCCTGGCACTCTACCCTGTAGACTGTACGCTCAGCAGTCCCCAAAGCACTTACCAATAAAACATGCTTTTGCAGCCATGGCTCCAAGATACCACGTCCATCCCATGCAAACTTTATCGGAGTCGAAGGGAATGAAGTTCCTGAGCTTGTTCCATCTCTACATCACACAAACCCTTCCAAAACTGCAAAAGCTCTGATACGGCAATGCATGCGGAGGAGGCGTCAGACATGCCGAAATGCTTCAACACAACGACTGGCAGATGGGTTGAAAATGCTGAATCGTCTGGAAGATTTTTGATTTTCCGGGCCAGACAATACACTGGGACGTTCTTGCATCCTGTCAAAGCGACCCACAATGCAATTTACAAAAGTAGGGGCCTCCCCCCATATGTGCCGAAAAGCTGTATGAAATCCTCGCCTTAAAGACTTTTTATCCCCAACAGTTCCCCAACTGTGCAAACCCCTACCCCCTTGAGTCCTAAGTCCTAAGGTTCAAATTCCACATGCATCCCTATCCTGCACATGCCAAACCCTAAACCCTAAACCCTAAACCCCTCCACGACAGGCTTCTGGAGCCAAACCCACACTTTGCGGAGTATATCGCCACAGAGCCATGAGATGCCCCCATAATATGCGTATATAGATACAAACACATAAATATACATAAAGATATCTATATATATATACATATCAGTTTATATGTTTGTGTGTGTGTATCTATTTGCTTGCTTATTTATCTGTCTATATGGATAATCCTTCATCTGCTTATATTTTTTCCATTGGTTTAGACACATATGGGGATTTCCAAAAAAAGTTTGGCGTGCTTTTTTGCGGCCTCCCCTTGCTTGCATTTGATGGTCCATTTTCCTTTACATGGGATTTTCTATTAATGTGTATATACCTGTGCAAAAACACGTCCGTGAACCCCCCAAGCCCCCCAAGCCCATTGGCCCAATGAAGCAGTTGCCAAAAAGCATGGTGTAGGTCAGCTCGGACCACCAGGACCTGAGGATCTGAAAAGTTCGGGGTTTTCGAGTTTTTAACGGATTTAGATTTTAGGTTTTTGTAGTAATCTTTCAATGGCTCAAAGAGTTTTGTATAGGGCTAACTAATGTTAAATACTGAGGCTTTGTTACATCTGTTAAAGGGGCTTGCTCATGTTTACCTGTCAACCACAATGGAGATGGATTTCCCGGCAGCAACCTTTAACAGGTGCTGGAAACTTTGCCATTAGCTTAGCGAAACTTGGGAGGCTGCAGCCCCAAATCAGAAGTATGGGTTTAGGGTTTGGCCAAAATTCTCTGCCCTCCACGAGCCTAGCCCTTGTGATTCAGCCTCTACCGCGAAACTACGTCCCGAAACGTTGCATTTTGCCTTGCTCCCCTAGCCCAATTTAGGGGCTGCACCTTTTGGAGGATCCCAATAATGAGTAAGAAGCAACTTGGGGCCTATATTGAAATCCCTATTTATGGAAATTATCACTTGCCATCAGAGCCACCCAGTACAGCGTCGGAAGATGGAGTCTTGTAGGCTCAGCGCGAAGGGACCCGAGGCCAAGTAGGGGAGGATACCAAAATACACCAGCCTGGGCTTCAGCTATAGTCTAAACTCCTTTAAGGGGGGGTTATATAGGGGTTTAGGGTTTAGGGTTTAGAAACTAGGGTTGAGGGGTGGGGACATAAGGGTTGGGGGTTGACTCGTGACCACTTGCGGACATGCTTTGAAAGACGGCAGCGCATCTGTAAGGACAGGAAAATTGAACGTGGTCCCTGCCAACCGTACACAACCCAATGTGTGTCTACGCAACCCCCCATTAAATACCTGCAACCCTCCCTGCACTTACGTTCACTTGGTTTATCCTGCTTCTCATAGAATATTTTGTGCTATTACTTCATTAGTATTCTGATAAATTGCGTATTCTTTTCTTTTAAATATACAGAATTATGACAAAGAATAGCTTCCAAATAAATCCCAATTTGCAGACCGGTAACATGGTCAAGGCCAAGCTCGGGGTCAGCCGGAGATATCTGCGCATACATGGGGTGTAGGGTTTAGGGCTTAAGGCTTAAGGTTTAAGCCATGAAAAATACATTCCCTTCTTCCATACTAAGAACCAGTAAGCAAAGGAAGAGGTCGCAAAGGGTTTAGGATGCAGCGTTGTGAAGTGAAAGCTTTGGATAAAAGCTTCTGGATTCAAGGGTTGTGGCACGTACATGGATTGACTAGGACTTGAGGTTCTTCAGGCGTAACAATGGGTCTCTGGAAGACTCAGGGGTGTGATCTTTTCTGGGCGCACATCTTGAAAAGGAAAATACAAGAACCTCAGGTCTGGGCCAAGTGTTAGGGTATAACTTCTGCAACTTAGGATCCAACATGCCAGGGAGCCTCAGCAGTAGATCTAGAGCCCTACAGGGATTCTGCTGATTGGATCCTTAGCCACCATGACGATAGTGGTTCCTGCCCTGTCAGCTTCAGGAAAGGCGAAGCCTCACGCTCAAACATCAAATTCAAACTTAAACTTTAACCACTCCTAGATCCAAACCTTAAGTCCTAGATCCCCAAAAGCTGGAGCTCTGAAACCTCACCCACGACAACTCCAAGATGCTTCACGCTCTTTGGGGATCAGGGTCCCCAAACCCTAAATCCTAAAGCTCAGGGCTGAGGCTTTCTCGCTTCGAGATCTACCGGGGGGCCTGAGGAGGATTGCGAGCAGCTGATTGGCTCCTGGCCATTTGGAAAACAGTCGCTTTGTAATCCCTTTTTAAGCTGAGGTCCGCACAACAGCAATTAGCTCAGCCAGCACACGAGCTCCGGCCCGTATGCCGCCCAGCAGCTGCTTAAACGCATTTAAACGCGATCCCAAAAGGCTTCTGTGCTTAAACACCCCCATTGCAGGAACCGCGAAAAAAACTCATGTGACAGCAGAGGCTACGTGAACTAATAAAGGCATGCATTAGCACATGTTCCCACAATGGTTCCTGCGAATCTGGGAATGTCCCTTGCCATCATGCCTCAGTCTTCATCACAACTGGGTTTGTTGCTCAACCTCGCTCTGAAGCTTGTCTTCCCGCCTCTGTTGATCGCTGTTGAAGATGCTGTTCCCGCAGGAGGCCCAGGAGACAACATCTTCAACAGAGTATTCCTTATATTAAATACTATACCCCAACAGGAGGATATAATCTTACTCTGTATTGGGTACCATAGTATCCCCAAATAAAATACTACTCAACAGAGACGGAATGCCAAGCTTCAGCGCAGGGCTGAGCGACAAACTCACTTGCGATGAAGACTGAGGCGACTAAGGCTTTGTAATCCCTAAACCCTATACCCTAAGCCTAACCTTGCACAATTCCTATGGAGACTTTGGGGGTACGGGTGTTAAATATTCAGGGCAGATGATTTGCGATTAGCAGGATGCCCTTACAGACTCTGAATAACAATTCCGCATTCTCAGGACTCTCTAAAAAGGACCCAGTGTTTGGGAAAATCGCGAGAGGCTCAGGCCAACCTTGTCCAATTTTGCAACAAATGAGGAACCTGGACAAAAGCCTGACAGGAACATTCAGGCATTCTAATATAAGGATGATGGCAGGAATTGCAGTTTTTGTGGGGAAGTCTCCATTTTCTGGACGCCTTCCACACTTGACAGACGAAGTCGAAAACTCTGGCAAGTCCTCCTCCTCTCTGAAGCTCTTTGAGTGTGAGGTGGGACAACAGGAAACCAGACCTTGTATTACCGGTGGCTGGTAGGGAAGAACATTGAATAAGGGAATATGGTCCCTATACATGCCTATATAATCCTTCTATGATACATTGCCTATTCCCTACCCAGTACGTCTGCCACAGTGGTCCGTCATGTTGGGCCTGCTATTTAAGCTGAGCTGCAAGAAGAAAAATGTGTCCACGCCTTAGCCAACCAAAGTCTAGGCTTGCACGGATGCGGCTTCGCCTTGCGCAGCATCGCCATGTGTACGTCAACAAGCACAGCTTCGAAAAACAAAGATCAGTCTTACTTTTCGCAGTACAACGGAACAGAAACTGGTAAGTATGTTGCATGTTGAGAATTTTTGTTGCACTATATGTACTGTGGCAATAACGGCTTTCCTTCCCATTTAGAAGCAGCCTTCGCATGTCTCCGCTGTACTGAGCGCGGCACTCTGCTCAGCCTGGATGATTAGCATCAACCACGGGCTGTTTTCCGCCACCGCTCGTTTCAAGCCACCTCATATGTCATGCATAGGGTGTTTTTTCAACGACTCACCTTGCGGTAGGAGTCTCCTGCACTTCAAGGGCCACCCCTGCTTCAATAAATGCACTCATCATCACTCGCCCTCGTCTTCTGCCACTTCTGTCCCCACAAGACTTGACGCTTGCTGGTCAACTCTTGGCTCCGCACCAAGCGAGATGTCTTGCGGGTTGGTATAGCCAGAAACGCCTAGAACTAATCAGAAAAATTAGCGAACCTAGAACTACTCTACCTCTTTTTTGTAAGAAGAGAAAACGACAAGAAACAGATGTGACAAAGCCCGGCCAACCAACCTTCCGGCATCAAGAAGGTGTGGCCGAGGATGATCCAGCACATGGCCAAAACACGCAGGCCGTTCAAACAATCTGTCGGCTTGGACCTTAGCAGCGGCTGCCATCCATGTCTTCAACACAACATACACAGCTGCAATATGCTGCTCTCCTCCTACAGGCAAATTGGTATTGCGTAACAGCGGGATAAACACCTAAGGTTACAAGTTCCTCGAAATGAACCACACAGGACCGCAAATAATTCGACCATT